AACGCTTATGTCATTACGTCTCTCGTAACGTGTTTCGCTTTCTTTGTGGGTGTCTCTTAGTCGATATATATCGCAACAATATATATTTATTTACATTTTTGTTTGTGTCTCTAGCAATTTATGTGAGTACATGAGGCTAAGTGGTGATTAGTTAATAAGTCTGTGTGCTGAAGCGTATATCTATGTTTGTTTTTCATTTATTTATTTATTTATTTTTTTATTTCAACTCAATCACAACTTTTTGAGTTTTAATTACCATTTCATGCTGTTTCACATAAAAGAGAATTATTATGTTTAATTAAATTAAAGCCATCTGTTCGTTTTTTTGCTATATAAATCAGCCTTGATACCTATGCGATGTAAAGGTGTGTGTGGTTGTGTGCGTAATTGTTTTAATGTACGTGTGTTTTGTGTTATCTGTTGGCCGTTGTTGTTGTCTGTTCATATGTCAATAAAACTGTCCACCTATATGCCCTCACAGTGTATTCCCAGCACAATATATTTATATATATAAATGTATTTTCTTTTTTGCTATTGAAATGCAAGTTGACTAGACGCAGATTTTTAAAAATTGAAAACGTGGCTACAATTTAATTGAAATGTAACTGAATTTTACTTTAACTCAACTGATAATCTCAGTAAGCCCTTCAAGTCCCACGGAAGTGCTGTTACATTGATCAATTACCTTGTGGGCAAAATCATTTAATTAGCCTTAATTAGGAGCGTCTCTCCGGCTAACTTGTTGCATGAATAATGGTGCCAACAGCGGTGTCATTGTGGATGTTAAATAGCACCCAATAACATAGATACACAGCAGATAAATGCAAACACAATGAGACCAGGATACGCACTTTGTTTGCCCTGACAAAACACAAGTTCCTAATGCCAATAACTGAACCCATAATAATATTATTTATGACCTCGAGCTGCTATCGCTCCTGCTACGGCTTCTACTGCTGCTGCTGTTGCTGTTGCTCCTTCTTTCGTGCTGCCAACTTATATACATTTGTACATATATTTCATTACGGGTCAGAAAAGTGGGTGATGGTAGAACACGACTGCTTCTTGTTACGCCGAAGGCGAATCTTTAGTCGCATACAAATTGCATTGATATGGCGAGGAGTTGCTAAAGCAGCTTTCCATTTCGCTTTTGATACCCTATTTATATCTATAGGAGAATGACTAATGCACCAGTAATAAAAGGGTATGCCATAAATAATATATAAAGTCAGTAAAGGTACTATAAAGTATATGTCTTATCGTTATTTTCTATCTAGATGTTTATATGAAATGGAAATGAAACATGGAAAATTCTATCAATATACAATGTAAAAATATCGATTGTTATCAATTTCAAATTACAGCGCCTTCGACTTGACCGATATTAAAAATAACCTGTTTTTATCGATTTTGTTTTTATATAATATTTATAAAATCTTATGATATTTCATGATACAAATCTCGATAACTATCGGCTTTGAAAATCCCACTGGTTAGGCTCAACATTTATATATAATATATAGATATTTTTTTTGTGCATGTATTAGACTAGATTAGATTATTCTTATCGATAATCTGGGGCAGTATATTATTAACAGGGTATTCCTGAGTCTATCACAGCTAATACAAGTTGTTTTACTCGCTTTTTATGCTTGTTAGCAATGGGAAATGTCTCCTTGTACCCCACTTGCTATCCGCTTTCCGTTTTGTTTGTTTGCGTCTATTGTGATTTTTTATTGTTTATATTTCATATTTATATATTTTATGTCTTGCTCGGTTGTACTTTTCAATGTACATTTTTATGTTGACTTCAATAATATGTGCATAAAGTGCGTTTCTACTTTACTCTTTATATTCATTTATTTTTTTTCCACGTTTTTCTTGTTGTCTTGAAGGATTTTCCGTTTCTATTTACTTTTCTGCGTGGTGCATGTAAAGCTTCTTTAGTGTTTTTTTTTTCTTCTTTTTTCTCCCCGGCTTTTGATCCTCTTTGTATAACATATGTTCATTTATGTTGTCTATGCTTGTTTACAATGCGACGACTCTGATCTCTGGACCAGACAACAGTCAAGTGAAATTGATGATGTTGTGTATACGACATGTATGGCATTATGTTTTACTTGCAGGTCGCTTGCTTCTATACTTAAACGAAACGAAACTCTTTAGCCTTTTCGTCTCTTTGTTATAAAATTATAAATTATAAGTTCACAAAAGCGCTTAAAACAAGTTGCCCACAATAAGTATAAAAAACCCAAAGAAAATTCGAAATAAAGTTGAGCTGCAGCAGGTGAGTAAACTTAGCTCTCAACTTTGGGCTATGCAACGTCTCCGTCTCCGCCTCCGCCTGCATCCCGTATAAACAACGTGAACAATCTGAAATATTGTTGCAAAAGTTGCATAATTGCATTGGAGCTTTGCTTTGGCAACTTTTGATATGCCTTAATTAAGTTTGGCCGCATTTCAAATATTTATAGGCTGCAAATAGCCATTGGACTGAACTCTAGCAGTGCTCCACAAAATGTTAATGGGTTAGGGCCAGAAATAGTTGCGTTTATAATTAGAGCATCAAGAGCATTGTCAGGTGAGCAACTCGCTGTGGAATTGGCTTAAGTAAATTCATTTACATTGTTTAGACAGCTTTCAATTGGACATGGCTGCAATGGGGTATTTGATATCAATTTTTACCACGTCAGTTGTTTGTTGCACTCGAAATTGAGACTTAATTAGAGGTAGCCGGGAGGAGTTCGTCACATTGTAGATTCAGGCAAGTTCTATTTTTGCTAACAAAAAGAAAATGGTTTCTCGAATATCAGATATCAGATACTCGGTATCTTACCTGTACCATTAGCCCGACAATTTCCATAACAATAGCAATCAATTTCAACGTCAATTACTTCAATTTCAGAAGTTGATACCTTTAAACTTTGTTAACAAAATGCCAATTGAAATACAATTTGAGACGCACGTGAGCTCTAGAGAAATGAGCCTGTGAAAGGCGACG